CTTAACCAGCTCAGAATTAATGCAGTCATCTTGTTCAATCCTGTTTCCATCTATCAACTGTTCAAGATGTGGAATTCTGCATAAATCTTCATTAGTTAAAACTGAAGAAAATGCAAGATTTAATAACCCAACCATCTCAGTCATCAGATATGAGCCTTCCTTTATCATCCCTGAAGGGTCCTACCCCCATCCTAACATTTTGTTTACCCTTATTGTTAATTTTTACATTTTCAGCCAACCTTTTCTCCTTTGTGAGAAATGGCAGCAGGATTTCAAGGATATCAAAGTCTACACTTCTCTATATCTATTACCTCTATTTTAATTAGGATAACCTCCAACCTACAAACTCTACATACAAATTGCACATCTCCACTACTAGCTTCCTTAAAAGTACATGCCAGTCCTGAGTTCCCAAATAAAACCCACTCATTGTACCCATTACACATAACAAACTGTGAACGCTTAATTCCTACACCAGTCTTATCCATTGTATTTATACTTATAGCTTTAAAATACATACTCAATTCCAAGTACCAGTTACTGTTAAATCTAATGTTTAAGAATAAATTATATTAGTTTTTTAATAACTGCTGTGTCTTCACACTAAAATAATTAAGCTTATCTTTAATTATATAGAACTTAGAAATATAACTTTATTAGAAGTTAAAATGACTAGTCTTTATTTTGATGTATATGTAATGTTAACAATACAATCTATTTAGATTTATTTATATTATAAACTACCTATAACTATAAGCTGAATTAAAACTAATGTATCTAAGTTCAAGTAAACAAGTTAATCCTCAATACATTAGGAGATAAACTAGTCTTTAGATTGAAATCATTTAATAAAATAATGTATTAACCAGTTTTACAATTTACTAGTAAGTTGAATTGTAGCTAAGCCTAAAGTATTGTACTTAACAGGAATTAATATTAATGAACAGCAAAAATTAAACACTGTCTAGCAGCACTTAAAACTTACAAAGAAATGAACTTTGGTACATTTGTCACATTAATCAAGTAAGCAAATGTATTATGACAAAACAAAATTTTCAGCAGTGACCAGTCCTAATTTAGTTTTTAGTAAGTACAATCAAACTTATGATATTTATAGGCTGTTAGCATCAGGAGACTTTCAGTCCTGTTTAGCACGTAAATCTTTCCTAGTTAGGTAATGACTAAAAGTTAACGTGTTGACTTTAATGTACCAAATGAATGAGATTATTCATTGCAGTATTATTCAAAAACAAAACAACAACAACAGTTTGTTTAATTGGTCAGTAAGTGGTTATTTCTATAAATAATATTAATCACTAATAATTTGAGCATTTAGTGTCTAACACTCTTCAGAAACATATGTATTTCCAAAATATAGGTGTAAAATGGTAGTTTTAAGGAATTTATTATTTGTAGTATTTATGTTTTTTGCAAAGAAATACACAGCTTTAATAGTTTATGTAACTGATAGTAATATAGTTGGTGATATGACCGTGATTAAAGAAATATTTTAACTTTCTGATTTTTATGCATTTCAGGAAACCCTTGGGAAACATGTGCCAGAACAGTAGGTTCATCATGTGTGAAAACTTGGTTGGTTAAAAGTCCAGTAAAATGTCAAAGTAGTGTGATCTCTCAGGTTTTTCCGGTTAACTACACCAATAACTTGACTAATTCTACTAATATTTTTAATGACGGAAACCCTGGACCTCCACACACTGAATTTTCACAACCAGTTGTACCTCCACATCATAGTAGTCCAAATTTTTCACACCTGGAAAGTCAGCTTCTTAGTTCAACTAAAATCGTTGGAATTCAAGCTCAGAATAATTCAAAAACGTTACAAGAAACAAGTTTAATTAAAATTAGCCAAACTCACCCTCAGAATCTATGGGCTAATGGTAGTGCTGTTCAGCTCACTCTCATGTCGGAGCCAGTTTTCAGGGACCCATTTGACGCTGAATGGGCTTCCTCAGGTAATAGAAATAGCTTTAGTAAAAATCCTTTTGCACTAAATCAAGTAAAAGCATTTGAAGTACAGATGTAGTACATATTGAGAATTTCTCTAGCTCCAACCATGGAATGATATAATTTCCCTAGCTATAGACATGTATACCATGAGCTAATTTTTCCCAGTGTAATCCAAATAAAAGCAGTCAACATATATGTTTTGTTGATTCTAATAATTTGCTAAACATAGTAACCATACAAACGGAGCTGTAAGAATGCATTATTGAGATGTAGCTCAAATATAATTTCAACAGAATGAGCTTTAGATTTTGTTACAATAAAATAAAGTTTTTGCATTACAGTACATTTTCTTATAATGATGTATTTTTAAGAAAAAATATGTTTAAAAATGACCTAAAGTTTCTATTTTGTATCAGATATAAAAGTTAGTGACATATAAATTATGTTATATATTTTGTGTTCAGTATAGACTAAACATACAATATATTCCTATAAATGTACTGTCTTTGTGGAGTGTCCAACATGCTTATTTCATTAAAAGAAATTCTTGGTTGTATCATTATATAAGAAAAAGTTATTTGAGCATTAAGTCTGTTATAATGTGTTCATTGATATGCATCATGTTTCTAGTGAGGCCTCCCAGCAGTATCTGCTGCTGCTAGACTTTAAAATAAAGGATGAATTTATCAAATTATATGCTGAAATTGACTGAAATATAGGCTATATTTAGCAAAATCTCTTGTAGAAGTGTTGTAGTATAATCAATTAACATGAATGTGTAGGAGATCAGTCCACTGTACTAAACCTATATAGGAGAAATATTCTTGATTATAATTCCAAATTTACAGAGTATATCTTAACAAAATGTGGCAGGCTTCTAGTAAACAGTATAACTCTGTTTAACACAAAAAATCAGATGTCTTAATAGTTTTAGATATGTCTGTGAAATGACGAAGTCAATCTAACTGACAAGTTAGAGTGCAGGGTGATGTTCATGAGAATAATAATGATAATAAAAAACAAATTGTTTGTTGAATAGTATGCAAATAGCATTTATCTAACAGCTACAACTTTATAAATGCATATTTGAAGTTTTTTCATTATCTGTGTTTACTTTATCTAGTATTTTCTCTACTCGATTATGAACTGTTACAAAATCAGAAATGAAGGATATCATGAAAAGTTTAACTCTGGTATGAAATTTATAATAACACGTTTAATAGCACTCTGTACAAAGTCGGAGTATGCACATAGGGTTAAGCTCTGTAGAACCAAATATATATATATATATATATATATATATATGTTTCCAACATAGTTGTTTTTCACCTTCTACTTAACAATTGGGCTCCTCTATGTAATTTATCTGAAGCAGCTGCTCATGGATTATTCTGTTGAGCTGAATATTATATTTGAAATGAAGAACAAAGAATTCTACTCTGTCGGAGCATTAACAATGGGTTATGGACTATTACAGGCTCTTTTGAGCTATTACAGATTTTAAAGATTAACTCTTGAAACCTGTAATCTTTTATGCATTCTGTCACAATTATTTACATGATTTTTAATAATTATCACATTACCTTATCCTCAGTAAAACATTTTGATGGCTTCTTTCCACTTGCCATCTTTGTTTTACAATTGATGCAAACAAATTGTTAGATTTCGCAAGAAAACATTGAAAACATCGGTTTCAAAACAAACTACGATGCTTCACGGAACTTCCGGCCTATTTATAAAAGGTGGATAATAACACAGTTTGGATCAGTTTTCAGCCAAAGAAGCATAAATGTTATTGGATGCTGTCACTGTCTGATGGGTAAATCAGAATTTTTGGCTGGATGCTGGCAGCAGCATCATGGGTGTAAGGAGTTCCTGAATGAACAGGTTTTAAAAATTTGCTGGGAGGCATGCTGGTATCATAATAAGCAGTTGCTTTTCAAGTAATTTAATATCGTTGCCCACAAAACTCGCATATATTTTTCAAGCATATCAAACTTCCTTTGTGAGGTGGTATACCCCTTTTAACAGTCTTTTTTTTTTTTTTAACAGACTCTAATTATGCACAGTTCTAATTTTATATCTTGTTTAACCAAAATTGTATTGTTATAATCAAACTTTTTTCTTAAAGCTAAAGCAGTTTCCATATTTCAAAACTTTGAATTATGATTTAACAGCAATAAGCATATAATACTGAATTTCATATTAGTAATATTTAATATAAATGCAATGTAGTATAGTTAAATATTAGTATAATTATTTCCAAGTTTAAACCAACATGTGATGCTAGTTCATGATAATAGAACTTGTACCAGAGTTGGAGCTAGTTGATGTTAGTCAATTATGTTCCATACTAACAGAACTTGTAGGCCAAGTTTATATTTATTCTTTGATAGATTGTTTAGGCAGAGTATTCATGATGGGTAAACTGGAATGAATGTCAACTGCCTATTGTAAAAAAAAAAATACAAGTATTTCGAAAGTATTTTGTCTTCAGGTTGTTATAATTGTTGTTTTGTTAATGTGAAGGTTAATTGTTCCATTATTTTTAATGCTCTAGTAAAACTTTAGTCACCTGCTTTGGCTACTGTATTTCATACTAATTAGTATAATCCTTTAACATATTTTGTTATGGTTGGCTGTTTTGAATAATTTCAGAAATGTAGCTTAAGCTTTAGCAACCAGCAATTAACCCTATCTGGATTGGTGAGTACTTTTCAGGCATCAAGTGCATTCCTACATATAAAATTTCAAATTTTAAGTAAAAATAATAATTCAGCAATTTTTTGTCTCAAAAATTCATAGAATGATATTTTGTCTATAAGATTTATGTAGTGTAATTCACAAAGGAAAATGACAAAAATGTTCAAACTTGCATTTCTGCACAGAGGGTTGTTGTTTTTCCTACTCTTCCTAAGTTATAGGTTTATATTTGCTATAACACTATCAACCCTTGAGAATGTTTTTTTTTTTATTTATTGTTATTATTATTATCAAGACACACAGTAGTGTATCATGTGGCCAAAACAACCTGCAGGACACACTGTGCATTATTAACAGGAGTGATAGTTTAGCAATTTTCCACTTTCTGTAGCTTTGACTGTGGTTATCCAAACTACTATTACATATTTTAAGTAGATGTGAGATGTGCTCTACTGGACTCATCACTTCACATACCAAATTTCAAGGCAATTTATTAAGAAATACATGAGATATAAAATCTCCAATATTGGTTGAATCCCCCCCCCCCCTTTGCACAGAAAGTATGGAAACTATTTTATAGAACTTGGTACACTGATGTATCTTTACAACCTAAAATTAAGTGTCAGATTTGATCTAAGTGTAAGCCACATGTGCAAAGTTATTCAACAAAAACTGTTCAATTTTGATCAAAATTTTTGCACGTGGCTACACAAAAAGTCATGTGAGCTATCAGTCTGAAATTTTTGCTACAGCTTCACCTAAGAGTAAAGGTGGAAAATTTTTAGTTTTTTCATCATTTGGATTAAAGGCAGCTGATTTACAGCAGCAAAACTATAGGATGAAATCATGTGCAGATAAATAAGTATTGATTAGGCCAAGCACACTAGCAGTTTCTAGCTCAAGTTCTCAAAAGAACCATACTTGTGGACAGTTATTATTCATTGCAAACTTTTAGGTACAAATTTGCTAAATTTTATGAATTTCTCCTAATTAAAAAGTGTTTAGCATCTCGTGATATTAGTGTAAATAATGATGCTTGATGTGGCTGTACAAAGTGCACGGAGGGGATGACAAGAAACTGCTAATCTTGTTTCCACGGCATTATTATAAAGGAAGTTATTTACAGTGTTTTAGAAAGGAAAAACTACAGCCATATATTTTATAAATAATCTAATTAGTTCTGTAAAGTATAGGTCTGTTCCAAATAATAGGCTTGCTATCCTAAATCTAATGTTGATTAGTATTGAGTGTCCCTTTTTCTTACTTTCTGTGTATTGTTGGTGTGTATTGACAAAAAGTCATGATAACTTATCAAAAACACCTTAGGTGTGGCCAAAAAAAAATTGAGCAGGCGACTTAAAGTAAATAAAAATTAGCAGCCAAACTGATTAGCTACATCTATAGCACTGATAAGAATCTTACAGCAAATATTCATTCATTCATTCATTAGTCAGCTAGGCTGCTTATTTTGTTTTACCCACCATCATGCCCCAAGTGGAACAAAAAATGTGGCCTGGCTAACTAATGAATGAATATTTGCTGTAAAATTATTATCAGTATTATAACTGTAGCTACCACTTTGACCACCAATTTTGATTTCATTCCTTTAGGTTACACACTCAATCCTTTTTTGGCTGCACTTATTTTTCACACCTAAGGTGTTTTGATTAGATTATTATTATTATCAGTACCTGATCACACACTTTTTATGACCAAGCACTGCATGATTTGAGGAACCATTAATAAAACTACTTTGACAACAAGCTATAGGAAAAATTTAAATACCAGGGAATAGAGCAAATTATAAACTATTTATGTCAATCTGGAGTAAATATAGTGGTGTGAGAAGTAATTTCTGGTTTGTTGGAAATTGATTAAATATAACTCTTGCAGAGAAGAACATTGGAATTTAGTGGGAAGTTTATAAGAAATTTTTTAGTTTCTTTAGATGTTCTTTTTGTTTTTGTAAAGGTTTCTAATTTTCATAGCTTTCAAACAAATATTTTTCTTCTATGTTAAGATGTCAGGTAAGCCTGGTTAAATTTAGGGAGTGTGGTAAATAGCAGCAAAATATTCCAGCGACTTGAATCCCTGTTTATTGAATATTATTATCAAGGTTATTCATACAACCTAGATAAGTAGAAAAAAAAAGTTATTGAAAAAACAGTTTATTAAATATAAATTTATCTCAACGAATATTGCTGGCAAAATCACTGTTACCTAGCATGACCTGGTGCCATTGTGACAGCTAAGGTCATTAGTCACCTATAAACTTTTCAGATTTTGCTGGGGTTTTTTTGAATGATTTATAGCACTTAAGTGGTAGCTACTACACTTAGCAGAATAAAGTATCAAAAGAAATATGCAAATATCAGTGAAGTTCAAAACTGTTTCAGTAAGAGTTTGGAAACTTCACAAAATAAAACAAAATGATAGAAAGTAAATCAAATATGATTTTTAAAGGCCAAAATTAGATACTGTTTAGTAAGTTTTTACTAATTTTCATTCAATTTGGTTAAGCACTTCCACTGAGAGAACTAGGGATGCCAATGACACCACCAGCTCTGGTTCAGAAAGGTTTATTTGCTGTGGCTTGAACACTGTTGTGATATGGATTGTTATGTTCTATAATAACAAATCTGCCTTAAACTGACTATTGTTTCATGTTAGAATATCTGGTTATCAAGTTGCATTAGCTTGCATCCTTACATTTTGTTGTGGAGAGCAGCTCTATAGAGATGTCATCAAAGGGAGATGTTAAAGTTTGAGATTTCTTGTAGTTTGTACAGGATGGCAGTTGTATATAATCAAGCACACTTCCCATATTTGCTTTCCTATGTTTTATAGTGTTTACACTTGGTTTTGGCATTGGCAAAATATTTTTGGAAATGGTACTTGGGAATCTGTTATTTAGAATCTATTTTCTTGTTTTTGAGTACTTGAGAAATGTTCATTAAAAGCGAGATTATTTTTTTTTTTATTCTTGCAAATTTACTGTACTTTCTGTGCAAATATCCCAGTCACTGGTGTTACTTTATTGTAAGAAATTATCATTTACCCTATTCAAAGAATATAATAGGTTAGATCTTTTTCATAATTACATAAAAAAATATTATAGACAATCTAATGTACAAGATAGACGAAAATCTACATGTGTCACAAATTCCTTTTGGAGAGTGAGGGGGCTTTGTTCTGCACCATCACTATTGTTGCTAATTGATAACATATGTATTTATATATGTGTTTTTTTTAATTTTATGATGTTGGTACATTTTACCATAAGAGTGGCAGTAGAATTGAATTCAGTTTGCTCTGCCATTAAGTTAAAACTTAAGATTGTTAGGAAGAATATGAATATCAAACTCAGCACTGGCATACTCTTTTGGGTCACTGGATTCATATCCACTATGTTTCTATTGTTAGAACACAATTAATATTTTATATTGTTTGTAATATGTATACACAAGTATTTACAAATGAGATTTTACAGATGACCTTAAAAAAACCAAATGTTTGTTTTTTTCATTTTATTTTTCTTCATATGTTTTGTTCTAATGTTATGAAACTAATTGTTACAAATACATGTAGATAAAATTTTAAATTTTGTTTAGTTGAGATATTTTTTGAATAGGAGTATGAAATACTAGCTTTTTGAAAAGCAGTTTGTCATATGGAAAACATGGTTAATTGGGAATAAAAAAAAAGAAACATTGGCTGATGTGTCTATTCATTACTGAAGTTTTATGAGCATGTACAGTATATCCCAATTCAGGAAAAAATACTTCTTTAGGAAAACATTTGTAGATATTCATTGTTGTTAACTTTGCTAATTTAGATGTAGCTTTCAATTTAAAATCGGGTAGTTCCGAGGTCATACTTTTCACTTAGTTACTTGTTATCTATGTAAACTTGGGTTTTTGATTAATAACAACAACAAAAACAACTTTTTAGTAGAGATGTTATTTCTATGTGTCTTTACAATTTTGTTGGCACTTTTGTATATGTGTATTTAAGTCTCCTTCATACACTTTTTATGACCAACCACATACTACATAGATTGAGAAACCATTAATGAAACTACTTTGAAAATAAAATATAGGCAACATTTAAATACTGTGAATAAAGACAATTTTAAGATACAAGTAATACTAAAATGTTAGAAAAATAACTGAATTCAAACTGCTTTTAATGTTCAAGATTTTCCTGATTATAAGGAAAAGGTAAATTATATCATCTATGTACCTTTGATCTAAATTGTGATTTTAATCTATTTTTTAATGAAATAGTATGGGAGTTTGAAATTTGTTTACATTGTTATATCAACTCCGCTGAAA